GCGCAGGGTAGCAGGAAGCTCTCCACACACTCACCGGACCTGGGCTAGGACTGGGTCTGGGGGTTCCCCCATAGTTTTCAAGTTACAAATAATCTGGGTGGACCATTTGGATATTCTCAACTCAGTGCCTGCCCTGTCCTCACTACATCCAAAATGGTACCACTAGAATATAGCCATACAGGCCAGACGAAAGTACAAAACAACCAGCCCCTTCTTGGTGCACAGCAAGAACAAAACCTTCCAGAAAAACTCACTTGGGGGCCGGGGAGATGGCTCAGTGGAATAAGCACTTCTCCCTGGCAATTGCAAGGGCCTGAGTTCAGTCCCCGGTTCCACCAAAATAAAAAAAACCTCGCTGGGTTCAGGAACTTGCAGTGGGACTTCCGGCATGCTTACGGTCAAAATAATGCTCCCCAAAACAAAACACCGGCACTAGCATGCACCAGAAGGACTGCCAGGAAAGTTGATCATGGCGGTTGAGCGCTAAGCAAAAGACCTATTTGGGGTTGAATTTACTTTTACTTTGAGCTCACATATCTTGCATGGGATTTCTTCTTGTCCAAAGACAGAAATCAGTTTCAATTAGCTTTCAACTCAACTTGCTGTGGCCATTTATGGCGCCAGGGCCCTATGACATCAAGCAAGAGCCTTCCCAGGCCATGAGCCTGCAGAAGGCCTCAGTGTTCACAATCCCCTCAGAGCCAAAGGACTTCCCGTTGCGGGTTTCTTTTAACCCTAAAGAAGAAGGGAAATGAAAGGAACTACTTTTTGTTTTGTTGTAAACGTGGTAAGAACCTGACAGGATACTTGTATTTCTGCCCAGCTGGCTACTGAGGAAATTCCACTTCTTTCTTAGAGGGTAGATCAGTGAAAAATAAAAAATGAGGCTTCCTGAAAAATCTGACTTACAGTTTAGACAGTCCAAGGAACTACTACACTTCCACTGTGGACGGGCATGACGATAATGAAGTTACAAAGCAAAAGCGTGGCTCGCTCTTCCTTGAAGTGCAGTAGGTCCAGGCTATAGGACACCGTGCGTCTGGTCCATGGGTCGCCTAAAGCTTAACTCATAGCTATAAGGACATACTCAGAGCACAGGGCTGAGAGTGCTCTTCAGCTAAAACCAAGCAGGACCTGGCCCAGCCAGCCCAATCTAACATGGATTCTTTCTTTCTTTCTTTCTTTCTTTCTTTCTTTCTTTCTTTCTTTCTCTTTCTTTGGTACTGGGGGTCGAGTTCAGGCCCTTGCGCCTGCCAGGCAGGCACTCACGCCACTGAGCTACATCCCTGGCCACCATGACTTTTTCAAAGCCAAAGCCTTACTTATACACCTGATAATGGCTACATATTCAGGAAGTCATATTTACATTCAGAAAATAAATATAAAAATTAATGTATGATCTAAAAGTTCTTGAAATTTCGCTGACCAATTTTACACTGGATACACAGAATAAAAGTACAGTATTAGTCATTTGCCACACTCCCTTCAAGAAGTCTCACTTTAAAAAAAAAATTGAGGGGGCCTGCCCATTAGCTCAGTTGTTTAAATGACTTCTTAAAGTAATCAGGATGCTGTGGATTCGATCCCCAGATCCTCAAGCCATTCCAAATCTGCCCCGAAGGCATCCTGAGCCAGC